ATACGTGACACAGCTCAGCAGCTGTCCCCTTCACCTGTTTCCAGGGGCAGCGGCACCTTCTCCAACTACTTCGCATCAGCTACAGGCAAAGCGAAAGGGGTCTGCGCACGCGCACTCGCCACGCAAGGCCCACGGCCCACACTGCCCCCTGGTGGCAAGCAGAGGCGGGCCATCTATTCCATTTGGTCCCAAGTTCATTCCTCTGCTCCATTATTCAAAAGCACCTAACCTTGGTATAACCAGCCACTGTTTCTGTGCACTCTAAGCTCGAAAACCCAAAGTGTCTTTTTCCATCGCAGCTAGACAGTCTGAACCTCCGTCAGCTAAACCTTCCTTTCTTTTGTGAAAGAAAACGACATTAGTTGTTCTAACGTTTAGGGGACAGTGTACTGATGTCTATAACTTGAGGATGCAACAAAAAATAAGATAGGTGATGGATGGATACGTGTATGCTGTCAAATCTTTTCAACTTTTCTGTATGCTTGACATTTTTTGTAAAATGTTGCGAGGAGGGAAGATTTGTTGCACAATTCAAATAATTAGTTCCAGGGGCGCCTGGGTGGCTCAGTCCGTTAAGAGGCAGACTCCTGATTTCCGCTCAGGTCATGATCTCAGGAATCTGCTTGTCTCCCTCTCCTAATGCCCCTCCCCCTGCTTCTCTCAAATAAATAAATAAATCTTTAAAAAAAACAATTAGTTCCTGGGACGCCTGAGTGGCTCAGTCGGTTAAGCGTCTGCCTTCGGCTCAGGTCATGATCCCCGGATCCTGGGATTGAGTTCTGAATCTGGCTCCTTGCTCAGCGGGGAGCCTGCTTCTCCCTCTACCTCTGCCTGCCGCTCCCCCTGCTTGCGCTCTCTCTCTCTGACAAATTAATTAATTAATTAAGAAAATAATAATTAGCTCCAAATACAAGGAAGCACTGAAATTCCCACCTGGACCACATGAGAATCACCTATGAGCTTTTATTTTATTTTTAAAGATTTTAAGTCATCTCTACACCCAAGGTGAGGCTCGAACTTATAACCTCAAGATGGAGAGTCCCATGCTCCACTGACTGAGCCAGCCAAGTTCTACTAAAGTTAAGCATAGGTCAGTCCTCTGACCCAGAAAGTCCATTCTATGGAATTGAGAGTAAGGTCCACCAAGAGATTTGCATAAGAGCCTTCATAACAGCATTTTTCTTAATAGCCCCAAACTGGAATCACCGATCAAAAGGAAAAATGGATAAATTTTCATAAATTCACACAAACAAATGCTCCCCAGCAGCATTATTCACAAATAGTTCCAAACTGGCACCAACTCTCAAAAGGAGAATGGACGAATTAACATAAATTCACACAATAAAATGCTCTCCATCAGGGGTTGGCAAACCACCGCTGGTACACCTAATTTGGCCTGCGGTCTGCTTTTGTACGGCCTGAGGGTCACGAGTGGTTTTTAAGTGGTTTTTAAGTTTTTTCATGGTTGAAAAAAAAAGAAAATCAAAATGAGAATTACTGAAATTAACACTTCAGAGGCCAGAATTCGAGTTCTATTGGAGCACAGCCATGCTTATTCATTTATGCATTGTCTCTGACTGCTTTCACACCAACAGGGACCATATGGCCTGCAAAAGCAAAAATATTTACTGTCTGGTCCTTTAAGGAACAAGTTTGCCAATCTCTGCGATAGAGCAACAGAAGGAAAGAACTGCAACTATACACAACATGATGTGAGTGAAAGAAGCCAGAACACAAAAGAGCCCATATGGTATGAGTTCTGTTTATGAGGTCCAGAACACATAGAACTAATCTATGATTAAATAAATTGGAAGAGGGGCCCCTGGCTGGCTCAGTCAGTAGAGCATGTGACTCTTGATCTCAGGGTTGTGGGTTCAAGCCCCCTGTTGGGCATGGGACCGACTTAAAAAAAAAAAAAAAGTTGCTAAGATTGCAAATCTTCAAAGTCCTTATCATAAGAAAAAAAAAGAAAAATTTTAAAATAAATAAGTCGGAAGCTGGTTTCTTGATGGGGGTGTCAGTGGCCAGGAAGAGGGACAAGGAGGCCTTCTGGTGATGAGTATGCTCTGTATTTGGATCTCGGCGGTGGATACTCAGGTGTAAACATATGTAAAAATTTAACAAGCGGCGCACATACAATATGCGCACTTTCTACTATATAACATGCATGTTACAAGTCAATTTTTTTAAACGGGGGGGAGAAAATGAGGGAGAAGAAGTGTGACCATCTCTAAAGGTTTATAAAGAACTCAGATGAAAACCACATGAAATATCGAATAATCATAAAGACAGATGCTAACAAGTGTTGGCAAGGATGTGGAGAAACTGGGACTTTCTTTTTTTTTTTTTTTAAAGATTTATTTATTTATTTGAGAGAGAGGGGTGGGGAGGGGCAGAGGGAGAGAGAGAATCCTGAGGCAGACTCCCCGCTGAACACGGAGCCTGACGCAGGACTCGATCCCAGGACCCTGAGATCACAACCTGAGCCTAAATCAAGAGTCCGCCGACTAACTGACTGAGCCACCCAGGTGCCTGGAAATTAGGCCTTTCATATGCTGCCCGTGGGAACGTAAAATGGTGCGGCCACTTTGGATAATAGTTGGTCAGTTCCTCCAACTGTTGTTTTTTTTTGTTTTTTTTTAAGATTTTATTTATTTGAGAGAGCGAGGGAGAGAGAAAGAGAGAGCATGAGCAGGAGGAGGGGCAGAGGGAGAAGCAGACGCCCTGCTGAGCAGGGAGCCCCATGTATGGCTTGATCCCAGGACCCTGGGATCTTGACCTGAGCCAAAGGCAGACACTTAACCGACTGAGCCACCCAGGCACCCCCCTCCAACTGTTTTATAGGTAAGCTCCACACCCACCATGGAGCCCAACATGGGGCTTGAACTCACAACCCTGAGATCAAGACCAAAACTGAAATCAAGAGTCGGACACTTACCCGACTGAGTCACCCAGGCACCCCAGTTCCTCTAACTGTTAAACACAGAGTTATTATTGATCCAGCAATTCCATCCTATATAGATATCCAAGAGAAATGAAAAACAGCCACACAAAAAAAACTTGCACGTGAATATTTATAGCAGTATTATTCATAATAGCCAAAAAATGGCGGGAGCGGAAATGTCTGTGACGGATGAATGAATTAATGAGGTATATTCACACAGTGGAATATTACTCAGCCATAGAAGGCATGAAACACTGACACACACTACAACAAGGATGAACCTTGAACACTTATGGTCAGTGACGGAAGCCAGTCACAAAAGACCACATAATATAGGATTCCATTTCTATGAAACACCCAGAATAGGCAAAACCTGTAGAGAAAGCAGATTTGTGAATTGCCTAAGGCTGTCAGAGCGAGAGGGGAGGGGGCTAGGGTGACAGCGAAGGAGAATGCGGGGTTTCTTTCAGAAGTGACGGAGATATTCTACAATTCCCTGTGGTGATGGATGGACTCAACTCTGAATATACTAAGTCACTGAGTTGTACACTTCAAATGGATGAACCGGACGGTTCGTGAATGATATCAATTAAGTCGTTTGAAAAAAACCAGACACTGGGGCGCCTGGGTGGCTCAGTTGGTTAAGCGACTGCCTTCGGCTCAGGTCATGATCCTGGAGTCCCGAGAGATCGAGTCCCGCATCAGGCTCCCTGCTCAGCAGGGGGTCTGCTTCTCCCTCTGACCCTCTTCCCTCTCGCGCTGTCTCTCATTCTCTCTCAAATAAATAAATAAAATCTTTAAAAAAACAAAACAAAACAAAACCAGACACTGAAGCTAAATCTGCCACAGCTACACCCTTCGACATTCATTCAAACATCGCTCATCCAATCTAACAAAGGGCTCATCTTGACATGAAACCCCAACCATTTTTCACCCTTCTAAGCCTGCTCAAACTCAATAAATGCTTGTTAGCACCTCACACTCACGGACAGTGTACATAAAGGTGCAATGCACTTTTTTACCTGCTTCCAAAAAAGGGCTTGAAATAAAGAGGCTGCCACCATTGTAGCTCAACCCTCCGATCCCACACACAGCTCTCATTTCCTCTAAATGCTCTGACTCAGATATACTGTCCCCATTTAGCAAAATCCTCTAAGCTGGAGGTCAAGTCCCCCCTCTATCACTTGCCCATTCTGTCCCCAAAGTCAGCCAGACTCTCCGTAGCTTTAGCAAGTCTCATCAGAGAAAAATCTGACCAGCTGTTTCTCCTCCCTCTGAGGGCAAAGCC